TACAGGCACGAGCCACCATGCCTAGTCCATCACTAGGATTTTTAACAAACCCAAGCACGCTTTTGAGAAAAGTTAATATGAAGTTACAGAGCTCCCACACTGATTTGTTAATTATAGTTGCAGGCAGAGTCGTAGTAGTTTGTCGACAACAGTATAATTACTGCATTAGTGACTTTGAGATATTAGATAAACAAATTCATTCTGCAGAATAAAAAGAGCTTTAAATACAAATCTTTTAACTGCCTTGTTTTCTAGGTTTTAGTAATGAAAACATTTTGTATATTTATGCTGTGGTAACACAGTTAGAAAGCAGGAAAGGGGAAAGAGGGAGAGAGTAAAATAGAGTATTTAACCTGTTAGGTAGACAAAGCTCACCTTGAACTCTTCCTTTGCGATGCAGGGATTAAGATGTTGCCACAAGGAAAAAAAGATGTTGCCACCACTCCTAGCTTCTTTTCTTTTTTTCTTTTTTTTTTTTTTTTAAGATTTATTTATTTATTTATTTCATGTGTGAGTACACTGCTGCTGTCTTCAGACACACCAGAAGAGGGCATCAGATCCGCATTACAGATGGTTGTGAGCCACCATGTGGTTGCTGGGAATTGAACTCAGGACCTCTGGAAGAGCAGTCCATGCTCTTAACCACTGAGCCATTTCTCCAGCCCCTAGCTTCTTTTCTTAATATCTATCTATCATCTATCTATCTATCTATCTATCTATCTATCTATCTATCTATCTATCTTTGGAAGGTTAAAGTTTTTCATATTATTTAATTTATTGTGTGAGTGTAAACACATGCTTACATATATATACCATGACACATGCATGCATACATATACTATGGTGTATCTGTGGAGGTCAAGGAATAGCTTGTGGAGTCAGTTCTCGCCTTTCATTGTGGGGGTGCCAGGGAACAAACCAAGGTTTTTTGTTTGTTTGTTTTGTTTGATTTATTTATTCAGACACACCAGAAGAGGGCATCAGATTCTGTTACAGATGGTTGTTAGCCACCATGTGGTGGCTGGGAATTTCACTAAAGACCTTTGGAAGTGCTCTTAACCACTGAGCCATCTCTTTAGCGCCCCTCCCCACCAACCCCAGGTTGTCTCTTGAGGGCAAGCATCTTTCCCTGCTGAGCCATCTTGCCAGACCTCTAAGTTTTATATATAGGAGCCCAGAAAATCCAGCAGTTGTCAGACTCTGGGGAACCAGAATTTCGGGTGGTTGTGCATCACCATGTGGGTGCTGTGCATCACCGTGTGGGTGCTGGGTACTTACCGAACCTGGTCCTTTGCAAGAGTGGTGAGCATCTAACGCTGGGCCATCTCCCCAGCCTCTCTGAGGTTAATCTTGACTCGAAGCTTCTGCAAGAAAGAGAACTGGATTAGCTCGGGCTCATTACTAAACCAAACTAAGGTCTTTGAAACATGTGATGGTTGTTTTAAAGATGTTCATCTATATTGTAGATAGCAACACCATCCTGCTCCTTTCTGGCCCTCTTGAGGTAAACAGTGTTGACTGAGACATGAGAATTAAGAGTTTGAACCCAAAGGCAAAGTGAAAAAAATTTTTGGGTGAGGGGGTCATTGTTCCTTTTGATTTGGGAAAAAAGATACGTTCAGACCTCAGGTGTCAGCAGACTATAGCTGCGCTTCAGATTTATAAGGGAGGATGTAGAAAGCAGCCTTTGAATAAGACTGAATTTTGGTGGTGACTGCAAGCTTTCAGGAGGGGGAGGTAGAAGGAACATAACTTTTAAGTTAGCCTGGGCTATGAGTTCCTTCCCTCACTGTTCCTCCAAGTGTGTAGTATATACATATGTACATGTTTTTAATTAGGGAATGTTTTAATATTCATGATAATACACATACAAATACAAAGAATAAAGTATAACAAAATAAACTAAATCTAAAAAAAGGTATGGGGCGGGCTCATTGGTTTTGAATATGTACTGCTCTTGCAGAGGATTGGAGTTTGGTTCTTAGCATCTACACTGGATGGCTCACAACTGCCTGTATCTCCAGCTTCGAGGGATCAGGCGCCCTTTACTGGACTCAAGTACCTGAACTCACATTCCACATACCCCTATAGACAGACAGACAGACAGGCACGCACGCACGCACGCACGCACGCATGAAAACCAATCCAAAACAAGAATCTGACTGTCGAGGTGGCTTGGTGGTTAAAAGGACTTACAGAGACCCTGGATTTGATTTCCAGTGCCCACAAGGCGATTCACACCATCTGTAACTTCAGCTGTGAGCCACCCAACATTCATCTTTTGCTCTCTGCCACCAGGCATGTAAATGGTGCATAAACATAGATGCAGGCAAAACTCCCATACAAGTTTTTAGAAAAATTAAAAAGTTGTATAGATAGATGCAGAATTTACTTAAGAAGTAGAACATAGGGGCTGGAGACATTGCCCAAGAGTAAGAACACTGACTTCTCTTCCAGAGGACCAGTGTTCAATTCCTAGTACCCATTCTGTGGCTCACAACCATCTATCACTGTGGTTCCAGGATCTGATGCCCTCTTCCAGCCTTTCAGGTACTAGGCAGGTGCAAAATGCATAGTCATACATGCAAACAAAACACCCATACACATAAAATTAAAATATCTTTTAAAATGAGTAGAAACTACCATGTCTTCTGTATTTTCTGATAACTCTTGCATCAATGTTGACTTTTGTATTACTACATTTTCATTTGGGAACTGAAGTATTTCAAACATGGATAGATTTACTATCTTTTATGAAAACTATTATACAATTATACTGTGTGTGGCTAGAGATTGAGCCTGTGGTCTTACATGTGCTAGGAAGCCACTCAGCTAGGTCCTGAGCCTTATAAAGAATGTTTGAAAGATTGTGCATTTCTGTTTATTGTTGGTACAGGTGGTTATTTAAAAAACAGGGTGTGGCTGGGAATGTAGCAGAATTCTAGGGTACATGCTTAGCATGCACAAAGTTCTGGCCTCGATCTCCAGCACTGTGCAGACAAACAAACAAGAAACCTGGATTGGTTGTATATCCATAAGAAGCTTCAAAGATCAGGGAGAAAAGCTTGCTAAGGAGTAAGAAAGGATTTCGTGTGAACTTGCTATTCTCTGATGCAGATCTTTTTTGTGTTTTTCCCCTCAGGGAAATGACAAGTCAAGGTATAGGCTCTGAGAATTTGCACTTTCTCATGTTCTGACAGAACTGGTAACTGAACAGAATGTGGTGTAAATGTGTGATAACAACCAATTTCTAGATGTCAGAGGCGTTTATTAACCATCTCTTGAGTGGTAAAGGCTGACTTGAGGGCCATGCCTCCACCTCATGGTTCTTGCTGGTTTTTTTAGCTTGGACTCTAATTCTTGTTTTCATGGTAGTTTGTTGTTTTATTGTTAAAACAGGGAAACTAAGTGAATAAAGAGGGTTTTAAACAATGCCTATGGTTTAATTTAAGGGGCAGCGAAATGAATATAGCCATATACATATCCAAATGTATAAAATGCCTTCCTCTGTTTCACCTTGTTAATCTTTGTACATGGAAAATAAGCAAATTGTGACAGCTCTGCAGAGTCAAATTCTGCATCTGCCACTAGCTATCTCTGTAGCCTGAAGAGTACTGAACTTTTCTCTGATGGTTTCTTTATAAAATGGGATGAGAAAACATTTGCCTCACTGAGTGCTTGGGAGGATTAAAAAGGATACTGAACAGAAAATACATATGGGTTGGAGTAATTATGCCTTCAAATGCTGGCTGGTACGTTGTACTCTTATGTTAGGCTTTGATTAGATTACCATGTATTTGTAGGGAGATGTTCTTTCTAGAACCATGTTCTCTGGTCACATGGTGATGTGTAATGTGAGCCTTATTAATACTCTGTCAGCATTTGAGGTTGTAACATAAGTACGTGGCTGTACCCAGAGGAATCCAGCAAGAGGGAGAGCGAAGCTCCATAGCAACTGTTGCTATTTGTGTCCGCTACACCAGCTGCCCAAGACACATTTACTTTTTTTTTTTTTTTTTTTTTTTTTTGGTTTTTCGAGACAGGGTTTCTCTGTATAGCCCTGGCTGTCCTGGAACTCACTCTGTAGACCAGGCTGGCCTCGAACTCAGAAATCCGTCTGCCTCTGCCTCCCAAGTGCTGGGATTAAAGGCGTGCGCCACCACTGCCCGGCACACATTTACTTTTTAATCCTGTTTTCACTGATAGTTTGGGATTGTAACCTTGCCTCAGCAAAATGAGTTGGTTGAGTTGTCCAGTCTTAGAGTAGATTTTATGATCACATGTTTGGGAGTGTCTGTTTTTTTGTGAAATATGAGATGATAAAGCTTTTTATGTATGAGAAAGGAAGAATTAAGCTTCAGCATTCAGTCGGTTGCTTGTGTGTGGCATGGTAGCATTAGTTACACGAGAAGTCATTTTCAGTGGGTAGTGAGGTTTATGATCTATTAGTGCTCTGTGGTTCTGCATAAACATCCGTGTACACATGTACATGTAGTAGGTTACATGCTGTCTACTGTAGATTTTAGAAACCCAAACTTTGCCATGCTTCTTTTTTTTTTCATTCCCAAATGCTCGTTTGAAGTAGATAACAAACACTTCACAAAGACTTTGTTTCACATTGGGTTGGTTTAATATAATAATACCTATCTAACTTCTATTTCTAACATGTTGAAATAGTTCATACCTCATGACATGCTTTGAAATAGAAACTGCTCATTTCTAACTTTTAGCTCCTAACTTAGTTAGCAACGGAGGACAAACATTCAGTTCTTAGGCTCTGTTCTGAATACTGGTAACACCCAAATGAGTGTTGTGGTATGATTGTGTCTGTGTGATTCCTAGTGTAAATTGCCTCTTAAACAACAATACCTTTTTTTTTATTTCCCCGTTAAGATTCAATAGTATAAGTGCACTGTTTGGGATGATTTAAACATACAGTCTAATATATTAAGCTAATGAACTTGAAGGACTTAACACAATCAAATGTCTTTACTCTCTAGGTATTATTAACCCAAAGAACCCAAAGGAAGCACCAAAGTCCTTCAGCTTCGACTACTCCTACTGGTCTCACACCTCGGTGAGTCTGCTGCCTCCCTTTTCCGTCTTTGTCTTTCTCTTATCCTTAATTGTTCCAATTTTAATTTCTGAGTGTGGTCAGGGATGAGCTCTGTGTGCGTTCGAGGGAGAGGTTTTGGGTTTTTTTGTTTGTTTGTTTGGTTTTTGTTTTTAAAGACAGAATCTCACTGCCCACATTGGCATTGAACTCACTGTATATCCTAGGCTAACCTCAACCTTGGGACAGTATTCCTGACTTCCCTTCTCAACTGCTGGAATTACAGGCATGGACTACAACACCTAGCTAATAAATTCCCAGTTCATGAGTTCATTTAAAAAATTATTTTTTTTGTTCATTCATGTTTTGTGTGTGTGGGTGCATGTGTGCACATGGGGGAGCTAGAGGTGTGTGTGTGGGTGCATGTGTGCACATGGGGAAGCTAGAGGTGTGTGTGTCGGTGCATGTGTGCACATGGGGGAGCTAGAGGTGTGTGTGTGGGTGCATGTGTGCACATGGGGGAGCTAGAGGTGTGTATGTGGGGTATGTGTGTGCACATGGGGGAGCTAGAGGTGTGTATGTGGGGTATGTGTGTGCACATGGGGGAGCTAGAGGTGGTACTCGGCATCCTCCTCTATCACTTTCTGCCATATTGAACCAGGATCTCTCTGAACCTGTAGTTCACTGACTGGCTAGACTGTCTGGCCAAGGATCCTTAGGCCCCCTGACTACGTCTTAGCACTGGGGTTAAAGATACATGCTACTGTGGGCCGCCTGTATGTGGGTGATGGGGTTCTAGACTTAGACTCTTATGTTTGCACAGAAGCACTTTACCCACTGAGCCATATCCCTGACCTCTTAATCTATCTTAATTTTAATTTTAAAGACAGTTTATTACACAGAAAAACCCTGTCTCCAAAAACAAAACAAAACAAAAAACCAAACAAATAAACAAAAAAGACAGTTTATGAAGCCCTGGTGTGGTGGCAACACCTTTAGACCCAACAGTCAGAAGGTAGAGGCAGGTGGATTTCTGTGAGTTCTAGGCCAGCCTGGTCTGCAGATTCAGGCCAGCCAGGGCTACATAGTGAGACTCTATCTCAAAAAATGAAAAACAAAAACTTAAAAGAAAAAAATGAACCAGGGTCTCACGTTGCCTTGAAGTCAGTATGTAGAGCTGAAGCTGACCTTCCTTCCTCACCTTCCCTCTTCCTTCAGAGTGATAAAATTACAACTCTGTGACTTCACCCAGCTGTGAGTTTAGTTTTTGATAGAGAATTCTACCTAAAGAATAAAATATTTACTTTAATCAAGTATTTTGATTCTTCCCTGACACCTTTAGTCAGTGAAGAACCAAATCTTGCTGACTTTTAAAGACTGCATCTAACCCTGAGTGTGCTTCCATTTCTGTGCTTCTGTTTCTTAGGCATTTTAAATTTTTCCTGTTCTGTGAGGAGAGATGTTCCAACTACCCACAGAGCCTAATTATCCGGGAGAGGATTGAGGGAGGAATTAGAAATGTTCTTCACCGGGGCTGGAGAGATGGCTCAGTGGTTAAGAGCAACGACTGCTCTTCCAGAGGTCTTGAGTTCAATTCCCAGCAACCACATGGTGGCTCACAACCATCTGTAAAATGATCCAGTGCCCTCTTCTGGTGTGTCTGAAGAGAGCAATGGTGTACTCATGTACATAAAATAAGTAAATAAAAAGATTTAAAAAAAAAAGAAAAAAAGAAATGGTCTTCACCAAAGTTGTATTTATTACAACTTATTACAATTTATTAAAACAGCCACACTGTGCAGTGAGGTGGGAGAAGGAGTTTTCTGTGTGAGCCTGACCCCTAGTCTGTTGTTCCCATTTTTTGCTTTAGACAATTGTGGAGCTCTAACGTCTGCAGTGTCCTCTATGTGTCTCTGTAAATGGGAGAAAAAAGATACACAGAAGCTTCTTAAAAATGTGTACTATAGGGGCTGGAGAGATGGCTCAGCAGTTAAGAGCACTGACTGCTCTTGCAGAGGTCCTGAGTTCAAATCCCAGCAACCACATGGTGGCTCACAACCATCTGTAATGAGATTGGATGCCCTCTTCTGGTGTGTCTGAAGACAGCTACAGTGTACTCATAAATAAAGTAAACTAAATAAATATTAAAAAAAAAATGTGTACTATAGCTTAAATGACTACTCTGATTCCAAACTTTTGTAAAATAGGGAAGCAGTCAAATATAGGAAAGAATATTAGTAACACGCCATAACCTTTTTGTCTGACCTTTACAGCCTGAAGATCCCTGTTTTGCATCGCAGAATCGTGTGTACAATGACATTGGAAAGGAGATGCTCTTACATGCCTTCGAAGGCTATAATGTCTGTATTTTTGCCTATGGGCAAACTGGTGCTGGGAAGTCCTACACGATGATGGGGAAGCAAGAAGAGAGCCAAGCTGGGATCATCCCACAGGTAAAGAACAGAGTGCTAGCATCTGGGCCCACCAGTACTCTCCGTCTCAGATGGCTTTTCATTTGGCAAAAATATATTCAGAGCCTCTGATATGCATGGTGCTAAGGTAGACGATCCGTCTATTTCCCTCAAAGGTGCTCACTACCAAGAGAGAAGATTGACAGGTACACACATAGACTTTAAGATGGGAAAGTTAACATTTTCTAAAACGTTGTTTCTGCACTGTCATATTATCCTATCTTTTAGTGTTCTCAGCTTTTTTCTTAAAGCCTTTTTTTCTGAATGTTGGAACACTCAGGAAGTTTTGGTCTAAAGAACATAGTTTTATTTCCTTTTGTTGTTGTTGTCCTGACGATACAACCCAGTTCTGTCCTTTTATTTTAATTTGTGTGTGTACTATCATGTCCAGTTTATGGGGTTGTGGGTATCCAGCCCAGGGCTTTGAACATGCCAAGTAAGAACTTTACCAACTGAGCTATACACCTTATATCCTCTTTAAGATTTATTTATTTATTTTATGTATGTGAGTACGCTGTAGCTGTCTTCAGACACACCAGAAGAGGGCATCAGATCCTATTACAGATGGTTGTGAGCCACCATGTGGTTGCTGGGAATTGAACTCATGACCTCTGGAAGAGCAGTCAGTGCTCTTAACTGCTGAGCCATCTCTCCAGCCCCCCCCCATACCCTCTTTAGACTATACATTGTGATTGTGATAAATAATATTGGAGTTAAGACTTTGTTTTTTCCTTGCTTTTTTTTTTTTTGCTCTTTGAAACAGTTTCACTATTTAGCTCTGGCTGTCCTAGAACTCACTATGTAAAGCAGGCTGGCCTAGAACTCACAGAGAACCCTCTGCTTCTGCCTCCAAAGTACTGCGATTGAAGGTATGCACCACCACGTGTTGGGTTTGCAGTTAATTCTTTAACCCTAAGTTTGTGCTCATTTTGAGTCAGTTTTATTGCTGGAGTGATATCTTACTAGTTTCACGAATACAGTATGAAGAATCAGATTTGGATGAATGGGGTTTTCTTCCTAAGGAGTTATCAGTTTTCTATTGTTGAAGGAGAGTAACAATTAGGAGCCTATCAGAGTATAACATTTTTATTTAAAATGTTGTTTGAAGTGTATGACATGTCCATTTAGAGAGAAAAAGAAAGACTATCTTATTAACCCATCTAACACTGTGGTTACTACAGTACATCTGTCTGGTTTGGACTGTTCACAGTTCTTTTCATTCTGCTTTCCTAGTTGTGTGAAGAACTTTTTGAAAAGATCAATGACAACTGTAATGAAGAAATGTCTTACTCTGTGGAGGTGAGTATAACTGTTACCGAAACCAGACTTTTGTATTCCAATTCCTCCATTCCTCCTTCCTCTCCTTCTTCCCCCTACCCTCTCTCTGTTCTGGGTCTCTTAATTCAGTCCTGGTCTCAGTGTATCAGTGTAGATGGAAGTCACTATGTAGAACCAGCTGGCCTGAAACTCACAAAGATCTGTCTGCCTCTGCCTACTGAGTGCTAGGATTATAAACATGTGCCACCATGTCCAGATTTCCTCTATTACTTCTTCATTTATTTTGTCTGTCTGTCTGTCTGTCTGTCTGTCTGTCTACCTATTGTGTGTATTTATGTATGTGCATGCCTATACAATAGAGTGCCATGGTATAAGAATGGAAGTTGGCTGCCATAGTGGATTCTCTCCTTCCACTATGTGGATCCCAGGGATTGGACTCGTGTTGTGAAGCTTGGTGGGAAGGGCCTTTACCTGCTGAGCTGTCTCACTGAGCTCCTGGAGATTTTGTTTTTTTGTTTTTTAAAGATAAGGTCTCTGGGTGTAGTCCTGGGTATCCTGGAACTCTTGACGTTGACCAGGCTGGACTGGAATTCACAGAGATCTACCTGCCTCTGCCTCCCCAGTGCTAGAATTCTAAGTGGGCGCTCCCTGCCTCAGCTACACTGCCACCCCATTGTGTTAAATGGCTCTCAGTTGTGACTGTTTCTATTCAGTTAAACTATCCGTAATCTTATGGGTCTAGACTGTTTCTAAGTTTTGATTATATTGAATAATGTTGCAATTAGGAAATTGTTCAGAGTTCTGTATAATTTGGGTATTAATATGTATCTGGCGATATATTTGATTGACAAATGGCCTTTTAGAAAGCAAGACTGTAGCAGCTTTCATTCTTCCAGGAGAAATTGGCAACCATGTTTTTTTTGTTTGTTTGTTTTTTTGTTTTTAAATACTTAGCGGTTTTATTTTAAATCTTTGCCATTTGGGGCTGGAGAGACGCTCAGGAGCTAAGGATGAGGCTTGCTCTTGCAGAAGCTCTGAATTTTATTCCCAGGACCCACATCAGGGAGCTCACATCCACCTATAGCTCTTCCTGCAAGGTGTGTAGCTCTGGTTGTCCTGGAACTTACTTTGTAGACCAGGCTGGCCCTAAACTAATAGAGATCTGCCTGTCTCTGCCTCTTGAATGCTGGGACTAAAGGCACATGCTGCCACTGCCCAGCTTAAACTTGGTCTTTTAAAATGCTATGTAGAAGCACAGTTCAGAATGAAAGAAAAAGGCTCTGTTTTAGGCACCCGGAAAATGTTATCTTTAACATTTTAAAATTAAGAAAGGCAAGGATTGATTTTTGTATGCCCAAAAAGCGGTGGTGCAGAAGAGTCTTCTTTCTAGGAAGCATCATACTGTGACATAATGTGGTTTACCACACACTTCAGATTCATGTGCTTAAAGTCTGAAGTAAAGCTTTATCAAGACAAATCCATCCTTCAAAGGCAGACTCGGGCTGGGGATGTAGTCAGCATTAGGATGCTTGCTTTGCATGTTGATGGCCCTGGACTCTCTCCAGCACTGGAGTAGGTAAGGGATGGAGAAACAAAGTTAGACATTTTTAAATTTCTGAGTTTGGTTTATTTTTATATGATCTCTAGTTACACCTATCTTCCTGCAATTAATATAACTTCATCCATCCTTGTGGCTGAATAATACTTCACTGTAGGTGCTAAAGAGATGGCTCAGTGGTTAATATACTTGCTTTTGTGTAGGCATGAGGACCAGAGCTCAGACCCCAGAGCTCGTAGAAATGCCTCGTAGGTGGTGGTGCTCTCCTAAGTCAGGATCTCAGGGAAGCCAGGTAGCAGGACAGGCCATACCAGCGAGCACTGTCAGGATCTCAAGGAGGCCAGGTAGCAGGACAGGCCATACCAGGGAGAGCTGTCTCCTGTTCTGAGACCTGCTTCAGTGGACAGGGAGGAGGAACAGGAGAGGATGAGCAGATTTCAGCATGGAACCGCGGGCCATGCGCATCTTCACACCACACACACACACAAATGAGAAAAGAAAAGCCCTAGTATTGGGGCTGAAGAAATGGCTCAGCAATTAAGAGTCCTTGCTGCTCTTCCACAGGACCCAAGTTTGGTTCCTAGCACCGGGTCAAGTGGCTCACAATAGCCTGCAACTCTAAGTCTAGGGGATCTGATTTTATCTGCTGGCCTCTTCCAGCAACTGCATTCTGAGGGATATATACAAGCAGATATACAAACATAAATATAAGTAAAAATCTGAAAATCCCATTTTAAAAAAACCTCCCTTATGTGTATGTACATTTTATACTTTTATTTTTATTAGCATACAATAACACGTATAATGTGTTTTATTATATTTTCATATTCTTATATAGTGTATCTTGATCGTATTCTCTCTTATCAACCTTTCTTTTCTTTCTTCCATTTTCGTTGATCCTGATTTTGAATTAGTCCTTCCTCTATGTCGTCTTGGGGGAGGTTGTGACCCAATGAGTCCAGTTTGAGTTACAGGAACCTGGGTAAGGATTATTTACAGAAGCACAGGCAACTTAGCAGCAGCTTCAGTGCTGAAGAAAATGTCTCTTTGTCCTTAGCAACCATTATGCATATCCTCAGGGAGGGATGGAACCTCATGGGCCCTACCCTCTAGCAACTCAACTGCCTGTGAATTCTCAGAGAGGGATAGGGATTTGTGAACTCCTTCCTTTCCATTTCAGATGTTGACAGTCTCAATATTGTACAGGTCATCATAGACCTTGTGAGTTCATGAGTGAGTGGCCATGCCACGCCCAGAAGCCAGAGTTCTACAACATTGTACCCCTTCCTCCAGTTCTTACGTCATTCTGACCTCTCTTCCACTGTGTTCCCTGAACCGTGGATGGGGTGATACAGCTGTTCACTTGGGGCTGAGCGTTCAACTGTTGCTTAGGTTTGCGCAAAGTTCAGACTCAGTAAAGTTCATTTGATTGATCTTATGAATCCAACATGTGCTTTCCTACTTTCCTATGAGGAAAAACTACTCATTTGCACGACCAGCATATTGGCTTTTTGTGGAAATCCTGATGATTTGATGAGCATGGGATTAGAGGAAAGGGAATTGACTGGACCAGTTCTGCTTCAGATTAGGAAATTACAGCATGATTCCTTTACCACCACCATAGCTGTGTCCTGTAGATGGGACAAGAATGCATGGAGTGCATCCTCTGAGCCTTCCTAAGTCTTCTTAAGCCATTGTCAGTGATTAACCATCACTCCTTCTGGTGGATGCAGTATCCATAGTTAATAGCACTGTGGTCAATCTTAAAGTGTTAGTTACTGGGCAGGGGAGACAGCTCAATTCAAAGTGTTTGCTGTAAAGGAGCCAGGATGGTAGTGTGAACATGGAATACCAGCTCCAAGCAGACAGGCACACCCAGTTCCCTGCTGCTCTCTTACCAGATGTTCCATGCCAGTGAGAGACCCTATCAAAAACAAAAACAAAACTAACTAAAAACATGTATGGTGTCTGAGGAGAGACCCCCAAGATGAGACTGACCACATGCACGTCCACAGGTGTGCCCACCTGAACGCACGCGGAACAGAAGAGCCAGTCATTGCTCTCTTGTTACCTCTGCTCTGAGTAGTATTCCTTGGTTTTAATTCTGATAAAAATATTAATTGATGGGCTCAGAGCACTGGCTCTTCTTCCAGAGGACCCAGGTTCAACTCCAAGCAACCACGTTGTGGCTCACAACTGTCTGAGATCCTTATAGGTATACATGCAGACCACACACCAATGCACATAAAATAAGTACATTTAAAAAAAAGAGAGATAGAAATATTAATTTTCAGGCTCTTGGAATAACCTCACTTAAGCTTCAATACTGACAATAATATGGACTTTTAAAATATCAACAAAGCTGGGTGAGATCGTACATTCCCATAATCTTAGTACGTGGGAGGCTAAGGCAGGAGGATTGCAAGTTGAGGCCTGGCTTAGCTATAAAGACCCTGCTTCAAAAGAGAGGGGTCTAATAAAGTTACTACTAACTTTATTAATAAAGTTCTACTAAAATATATATTTTCTGCCTAAGAAAAATAACCATTATGTGTACCTGTTTGCCTCTTCCTTCTTGAGAAAGACTACTTCTGACCCATGCACATGATATCTGCACACATTGCCAATAGAATAAAGGACCCAGGGCTATGGTGTTTTGACCTACACTTGTACAACTTTTGAGAATTTTTTTAAAAATGAGACAGAATCTTTTTTTTTTTTTTTTTAGTCCAGGCTGACTTTGAATGCATGTTCCCTCCATCTCCACCTCCTGAATACTGAGTTTTCAAGGTCTATATCACTATGTTTAGCTTTGAAAAAGTGTTTAATGTGTATGTATCTTTTCTAGATCCTTTGATTTACTTTAATAAAATGTTCCTAGGTGAGCTACATGGAAATTTACTGTGAGAGAGTACGAGATTTGCTGAATCCCAAAAACAAGGGTAATTTGCGTGTGCGTGAACACCCGCTTCTTGGGCCCTATGTGGAGGATCTGTCCAAGCTGGCGGTCACTTCCTACACTGACATTGCTGACCTCATGGATGCTGGGAACAAAGCCAGGTATGGTAGGGAATAGACTGATAAATAGATAAATAGACCAGTGCTAATCCTTTGGCATATTGTGAGGTTCTTTAGTTTTCAGTGTAAAACAACGTTGTAGCTATGAAAGTTGCCTTAGTTGTAGAGCCTTTGAGTCTGGCTGTGCTGGAGAGGTATAGGCTGCGATATACGTAGCTGTCTTCTCATTAAAATGCTGCATTGTTGACACAGGTCAGAACTTTGGTTAAGCTCACCCTTAGATATTGATTAAGTCATGGTAAATGTTAACTGTAATGTCTAGATGACGTTGTGATAGTGACTGATTCTTGAATAAATGAGCCAGTTAGGAATAAGAATTAAATGCTCTGGTGATTACTAAAGGGATAGCTGGAGTATGAAACGTGGCCCTGATGGGGAGCCTTTTGAGTTGTGGGGTAACTTGATGGGCTCACAAAGAAGACAGCATTTGAAGCAATTGTGTAAGTGACAGTCCTTTCATCTCAGTAAGGTTAAGGCTGTTGTCTGTGATTGTTATGCACAGTTGTATAGAGCCTGCTGCTATCTATTGTAACTCTGATGGAAGAATTCTCTTGTCAAACGGTCACGGTCACCTTTGGTTTGTTTAGGACCGTGGCAGCTACCAACATGAATGAGACAAGCAGCCGTTCCCACGCTGTGTTCACCATTGTTTTTACCCAGAAGAAACAGGACCCTGAGACGAACCTTTCTACTGAGAAGGTGAGAGAACTTCTGCTCGCTTAGGGATTTTGTGAAGGGATTTTGTGGAGAGCTTCCTTTTACTTCCTTTTACAGGATCAGTGTCGTTCTCTCCCTTAATGGGAGTGGTTTTTAATTCTCCTCACCATTTACCCTACACCAGTTTTTACTGTGCTAGGTCTTTCATGGAGCTGAAAGATAGAAAACATAGTTAACAAAATTTAAAACTTTGGGAAAATAGTTTATTTTATGCAAAACAGTTAAGTGGTTCTGTTGGGAGAAAACACCTTTTCCTCTTGACTAAACAACAGTAATGTTTGATGATAAAGATATTGCAGTGATGTCTGCATGTGATTAGGCACGCAGAGGACGCTTCACTCCTGGGAAATAACTCAGAAACGACTCTGATACTGTTTAAATACCTTCCTTTGCTTTTTGTTTGTTTTCGTTACTGAGGACTGAACTCAGCCTATTGCATGAGGGTAAACACTCTACACTTGAGCCATTCTTAGTCCTGGTTTCCTTTGTCGCTGTCCGTTTTTCTGTATCAAGGACAGAAGCAGGTCAGACATGCTAGGCAAAGCTCTCTCCAGCCATTTTGGATTACTGATTTCTCCTCTCGTTAGTGGTTAAATATTACGGAGCTTGGAATGAAGTCGCATGCTCTGAGTCATGGGTTTGTTACTTTTTATTTACATAACATTTAGCAAACTACCTTACTCCTCGTGCTTCTGATTTCTCCTTCTGTAACAACTTGAGAGAGTTGTTAAAAGGATTAAATATTAATATTAATGTAGGTTAAATGCATATAACAGTGTCTGACACCAAGGAGCCACTCAGTGTTTGTTAATTTTGTTGTTTTAACTAATAAAAATAATTATGATGATGAAACTTAAAATCAGAGGTTTCTTTCAGCTGGGGTGGGGTGGGTTGGGGTGCTCGGAAACGAACATAGGGCCTCATTCCTGTTAGATGAGTGCGACACCGCTGGGCTGCGAATCTAGACTTACCGTAGCAGTAGTTAGATGGATTCTCTGCCTTTTACCTTGTAAGGCGAGTGCTCTCTATAGTGTTGTCACTAAAAGCTAGGATCGTTTTATGCTTAGAAACTATTTTTGTTTCAGTTAATTGAACCCAGGATATTCCTTCTAGATACTTTTGTTTAGACTGTTCTGAAAATTTTTGAACAATTTCATTGAGGAATTATAAAGGTGTATAATACCTACACATATTCAGAGTATAAAATTTGACCATTTCTGATGAATGCTTACATATGTGAAATAATTAGCATACTGGGAATTTCTGTTACTCCAAAGAGTTGTCTCATGACTTTGTAGTATTTCTCTATCTCCTCTTCTACATCATCCAGACAGTTCTAAATGTGTTTTCGTCACTATAGATTAGTTTATATTTAGTATAGTTTTATGTACGGGACACACACACACACAAGCTCATAATGATTTTGGTGTTTATTTGTGTTCTGTCTATAGTTGGTTCCTTTTCATTGCTTACAACTACTCCATTATTTAATTTTGCCTCATAATTTGGCCCTATGAGATTTGTGTACATGTGTGTGGAGATTTGTTTTGTTTCTTGTTTTTCTGAGTCCTTGTTTCATTCTTTAGTCCAGGCTGACCTGGAACTCACTCAGCTTCGTGTTTCTCTTGCCCACCAAGTATTGAGGTTACAGGTTAGATACACTGTGCACAGCTGGCAGTGTGATTTTTATTTTGTTTTTATTTATATTGGTGAATACTTAAGAGTAGAATTGAGTCTTGTGGCAGATGTGTGTTTAGATTCTGGTTGGGGGTTTTTTGTTTGTTTGTTTGTTTTGTTTGATCTTTTGAGTCAGGGTCTCTACTATGTAGCTCTGGCTGTCCTGGAACTCACTGTGTAGACCAGACTGGCCTTGAACTCACAGAGATCTTCCTGCTTCTATCTCCTGAGTGCTGGTATTAAAGGCATACTTAGCTTCTTAAGAAATAGCTAAATAATTTTCAAAATAATTATTGCCACCATAAGTCTGTAAAAGCTCTATTTATTCAGTGCTTAGTGTTTCATATGCTAGTTTAATGGGCTTTGTGTGTATGTCTGTGGACATGTTGTGTGTGTATGTCCATGCGTGTACATAGCATGCACATACAGAAGTCAGTGGACAGCCTCACTATGTACCCCTGGCTGGCCTGAGGCCTGAAACTTGCTATGGAGACTAGACTGGCCTGGAATTCACAGAAATCCACCTGTCTATGCCTCCTGGGTATAAAAACTACTGTTTGTTTTGTTTTTGGTTAAATCTTGAACTCATCACTATATAGAGAATACCGCCTTTGAGCTCATGGAGAGTCCTCTTGCCTCTGCCTCCTGAGTATTAGGATCACAGTCATGTGCAGCCACACCTAGCTATCTTGTTTAACTTTCATGTGATTGTTTTTACCTAGGTCAGTAAAATCAGCTTGGTGGATCTAGCAGGAAGTGAACGAGCTGATTCAACTGGTGCCAAAGGAACTCGATTAAAGGTATTTCTTTTAGTAAAATGGTCTAGTCAGTCAGTGTTTTGTTTCACGAGTCTAAAACTATGGCTAGGGGCTGAACTTACATATTGCCTAGTTTTATAAATAAAATTCTATCAAAAGATTGCTGTATCTTTTAATTTATGTATTGTTTATAGTGACATTTACTATATTACTTATTTTGATACAGGTTCTCAGATAGTCTAGTCTGGCCTTGAACTTAACAAGTAGCCAGACTGAGCTTGAACTCTTATCCTCCTGCCTCCATCTCCTGAGTGTTAAGATTATAGGCATATGCTACCATGTCTCTTATGTGGTCTTGGAAATAGGACCTGGTGCTTTGTGTGGGCTGGTCAAGCACATTACTTGCCAATTGAGCTATATCCCTAGCCTCCAAGACAGTTTTTATGCTGCAGTGGCAGAATTGCACCAGAGACTATGTGACATACAAACCTTATTTATTTATTTGTTTGTTTGTTTGTTTGTTTAATATATGTGAGTATATTGTCATTGTCTTCAGACACACCAGAAGACAGCATCAGATACCATTACAGATAATTTTGAGCCACCATGTGGTTTCTGGGAATTGAACTCAGGACCTCTGGAAGAGCAGTCAGTGCTCTTAATCACTGAGCCATCTCTCCAGCCCCCAAACCTAATTTTTAAATTTAATTTTTAATGCAAAAATTCCAACTATTGACCTGTAATTTCAATGAAATGCTAAGTTAGATAACGAAATACAAAAGAGTTTATGGTCAAGAAAGGATTATATTATATTTGGAGAGATGGGCAGAGTTTGGCCAGGTGGGAGAGCTAGTAATGAGAATAGGCTATGCAAGATACAGATGTAAGAGCAAGTGTGGACTTTGACGGAGATACTGTTTAACAAGGACAGGCCTTTCATGTTGGTGAGCTGTGGGAGGAAGGCTTGCCTCTGTAAGATTCTGCAGCATAAGCATCTTGAATGCAGAAAGGATTAGGAGTTGGGTGTGTGTTACCAAGTGAGCAGAGGAAAGACCAAAGGCTGCAGGAGTCTTTAGAACTTATGTCATGAAGAAGCAGATATACTCAGCTTGCAGCACTATGAGTGGTGTGCAGTAGTAGAAATTCTTTGTTGTAAATCTTTCATGTTTGCTGTTTATTTTAGGAAGGCGCAAATATTAATAAGTCTCTTACAACTTTGGGCAAAGTCATTTCGGCCTTGGCAGAGGTGGTAAGTTTCCTGTCTCACTCTAAGAGGAAGTGTGTGCTCAGCACGTGAGCTTGCTGATACCGTGCTTCTTTAGGAAGGTCCTACTGGGTCTGGCCTTTTTATGTGATTTATAACATGGTTTTCAGGCAGGACTGGAGTATGATGTACTTTGACTTTGAACTGAAAGGAGAATGGCAGCAGCTGTAGCTGTCTGACCTACAGCAGGGACCTAAAACGTAAAGCTTTTGAGCCTTACTTCACACCTCATACTAGTAGCCACATGTAGTTTTGTAGGTCCCCGTGTAGTCTCTCATGTTAGAATACGTGTTTTGGGAGTATTTTGAACAATGTGGCTTTGGAGAGTGATGTTGATTTAGAAGCCAATAATACATATTCTTAAAGTACAGTCACGTATCACTTAATGAGATGAATGCATTCTTAGAAACGTGCCATTCGCTGCCTTTGTCGTCGTAAGTAGACAGGACACCCTAAAACAATGGGGAAATAGTATGCGATCTGCCAGTGAGTCTCAGTCACCAGGTGCCATGGATTGAGCCTAATTGTGAGTGTGATGTGTCCCATGTGACTGGCGGTATAGGTTTGTGTCCACCGGCATTTCTACAGCCAGTGCCTTGTGTTATAGTGCTACCGCCTGAAGACAGCAACACATTGTAAGTTTTCAGTGCCATCATAATCTTAACAGACCATCATTGTCTGCACTGCATACTTAGATTAAATGGTCTTTCTTTTTGCAATACTGACATATTAAAGCTAAACCCAATTTTGTATGGTCTTCATTATTTAAATTTAAGAGCCAGGGTAGTTTTTGTATGCTCTAATTTAATTGGTCCTTTGAATCACTAAAAAGAATTAAATCTCTTCTTGTCCCTAGAAAGTGTTTGATTTCCATTTATTCTAGAGGCTTATCCCATGTTCCTTTTCTCTCCTTTAAATGCTTTCATTTGCAGGATAACTGCACAAGCAAGGTACGGTGGGGATTGGTCACGCTGAACTGGCTTAATGAGCGGCTCTATGGCTTTAGCACTGTGAGAGGAGAAATAGGGCATAAGTTAGAATAGAACCTTCCAAAAGGTTTTGTCATTTTTTTTCTGGCTTTGGAATTTAGAATGATTATTTAGGGTGGCTGTGAATCATGAGGCTTCACACTAGAATTAATGAAGGAACATAAAGTACTTTGGAGAAGGGATAAAAATAAAGGAACAAGAAAGAGATTTGAGGAAGCGTCTACATGATGTCATGATGTTTATCCCACTGATCTGTGGCTGTCCCCATAGCTCTGTAATCCACCCAGCGTACTAAGTTAAAGTTCTTTGGAGTCTTGTTCTAAAGCATAGCTAATTTGTTGAAATTATTGGAAACAAGTAAGACGAAACAAGTTTATATATTATTAATATATGTGAACTGTTTTACTTATTCCCTATCATAGAAGTTGATGAGGAGTTTAAGACATGTCTTCCTGCTATCTGATTGTACTAAGATAAAGTAAAGGCTGGCTATAGAATCAATTTAAAGTTTTAACTGAGGCTAGAAAAGACTGTATCTTCTTTTACCCAGTAGTATATGTTTTCTCTTCCTTATATTTCTATACAAATGCCCTAATAAAAGTTTTTGTTATTATTCTGCACAAAAAAGATATTCAGATCACCTAATAATTAAGAATTATATTAAAGAAAGCCAGGTAGATGCAGTATTTACATCAAAATCTTTGGTATTCACATGCTTGATTTGTTTTCTTTTTCCCACTTTGGGGTATTTGTTTTTAAAGGTTTTTTAAATTATTGTTGTGGACAGGTGTCTGCAGGTGTCCATGAGCAGATGTTTGAGAACATTTGGTGGTTGGCTCTCTCCTTTTGGGAGTGAAACTTGGTGTTACTTAGTGTCTCAGTGCTAATTTTGGTTATGCTGTTTTTTAACTGCTTGTCAAAGATAATGTGCCTCAGTGTTGACAAGTTAAATACTAAATTTCCTTTAAAATAAATATTTTAAAGCCATGGTCTAAAGACATGGATGGAATATTAGATAATAGTATTATGTTGTTAAATTTACTAAATTTGTTCCTTATATGCTATATACTATATATCTGCTGAAGTATTGAGACTTGTGCCTACAGTTTACTCAAGTGTTTGGGTAATGACAAAATATTAATAATGGTTAGAGCTACATGGTAAGTCTTCCGTGTACATTGTAATACTACTCTCTTGATTTTTTTTTCTGTTATAAAGATTTAAAAATGAAATGCTAAAAGAAATTTATGTGCTTTTTGAAGAATTGACCTGTAAGTAGTACATTTCAGTCATGGCAGAATGCCATTACAGTTAGATTTACTTCAGAGTTTTAGACTGGTTTGCTATTCATGTGAATTTCCCCCCATAGTGTTGCTAACATTATTCTCTTCCCTTTTATAGAGTAAGAAGAAGAAGAAAACCGATTTTATTCCTTATAGGGATTCTGTACTTACTTGGCTCCTTCGAGAAAATCTAGGTATGTTGACCGCGAGTACAAGTTAACTTTGTAGTTGTCTTTTTTTTTTTTTTTTTAGATTTATTTATTTTTGTTGCTATGAGTACACTGCAGCTGTCTTCAGACACACACTAGAAGAGGGAGGGCATCAGATCCCATCAAAGATGGTTGTGAGCCACCGTGTGGTTGCTGGGAGTTGAACTCAGGTCCTCAGGAAGAGCTGTCAGTGCTCTTAACCCCTGCGCCATCTCTCCAGCCCTGTAGCTGTCTTTTTAAAGTTGCATGATGATGTAGCTCACTATCCCTCATCTGTATGGAGAAGAGTCTTGTCTAGAGGTTCACAGTAGCTCACTCGAGGGCTTCTTGCCTTTTCCTGATTTTGCATTTGGTTTTCCCTGGCTGGAGTCACTTACTTTAGGACGCAAACTGAAGAGCAGGTACTGTCTTCTGTGCTCCATACAGCTACTTCAAATGTTTTTCTTTCCTAAGAGCCCCCTCCCCGCACCAAGGTCTATGTATTTTATGTGCGTGAGTGTTTGTACACCACGTGTATGTCCAGGACCTGCAGAGCTTAGGCAGCATTGGGTCCCTTGGAATTAGAGCTGCAGGCTGCAAACTACCGAGAGTGCTGGGAAAACAGTGTTTTCTGCAACAGCAGTTAGCACTCTTCGCCACTGTCTGTCTGTCTGGCTCCTTCCTTAGAGTACTTGACACTCTTATTCCTTTGACTTTTCCATAGTGGGTACACTCTGCACAGTCTGGCTCTTCCTTACTACTGATGGCTTTTGACCTTTCAGCCTTTCTCTTCATTTTTTGCTACTCATTAAGAACAAGTAATCAACCAACTTTCCCATCACTAAGGACAGTCGTGGAGAGTGGTTAAGATCTTGATTAGAGTGTTTGGTTTGTTTAAGACCAGGTCATAGACAACCCAGGCTGCACCGACGTCCTGTTACCACCTCATGGTCTGGAGTTATAGGCGTGTGCCACACTTACCTGGCTAGAGTTGTTTAAGGGAGGGAGGAGAGGAACTGAAGTCAGGACTGCTGGAAAGCAGAATATGAGTGCAGCACAGCACGGGAACATTGAGGAACTTACTGTGTTCCAGGGTTGGTGGCACATAGCTATAATCCCAGTACTTAGAAAATGAAGGCAGTAAGATACCAGCTCAAACCAGCCTGCCTATGTAAGACTTTGTCAAAAAAGAAAAAAAATATTGTTGGCTTTTGATTAAATTTTAGGATCTGCTGTCAGCTTTAACACAGTAAATAAAATTCTTCTTCTAAAAAGTGAGTGAGTCCTCGGCGTTCATTTTCTCAGGTGGCAACTCCCGAACTGCGATGGTTGCTGCTCTCAGCCCGGCAGACATCAACTATGACGAAACGCTGAGCACTCTGAGGTACTCTCCTGTGATCTCGGCAGCTGAGTAGTTTATATACCACAGTTTTTCTTACACTGTGAGGGGTGTTGTATGTGGCATGGGATGCTTTGTTCTCATGATAAGGGGAAAATGATTTTTGTTATAATGGAGTGTACTTATGTTGCTTTCAGATTCATTGGGATAAGTGAGAGTTATGTTGTGTTTTGTTTTGCTTTTGTTTTTTGATTTTTGAGTGAGATATTTGGATAACTTTTAGACAATGAGATTTTCCCATAATATTCATTCCATTAATAGAAGTATTCCTTTGTATACGTAGTTTGCAGATATATTTAAGTTGTAAAAAGTAAATGCAATTATTAGTAAATGTAGCACTGAAAAAGTACCAGGAGTTTATTATTAAATTTTTATAGACATAATATTTTAATTTGAAACTATCTTCCCTTCTCCCATTAAAGATATTCTTAATACAGCAAAAGAACACTGTTATAGGCCGACAGACTGGTTTTGCGCCCTTCTCTGATATTTCTTTCTATTGTGATCCTAGCCAATCACCTAAGTTCTTCTTAATCTTTGTCACTACTGTAAGGTGCTATAAAGCCTCATACAAATAATTGATTTTCAAGGCTCTTAAAGTCCTCAGAATGTTTGGTGTAGAGGTAATGTCATGTTATTTATGAGAAGTAGAGCTTCTGAGAAATTGCAAGGATCGGTTTTCTTTCTGTATCTAGATATGCAGATCGTGCAAAACAAATTAAATGCAATGCTGTTATCAACGAGGACCCGAATGCCAAGCTGGTTCGGGAGCTGAAGGAGGAAGTGACCCGACTGAAGGACCTTCTTCGTGCTCAGGGGCTGGGAGATATTATTGATAGTAAGTGAACTAGGGTCATATAGAATCCTATTTTCCTTTCTAGATTCCTATATTTAAAACAAGCTTAGGGTTGGATGTGGTGGGCACTTGGGAGGCAGAGGCAGGTGGATCTCACTGAGTTCAAGGGCAGCCAGAGCTACACAGTGAAACCTTATCTCAAATAAGTAAGTAAATAAGCCTAGACTGTAGAGACCTGATGAAACTAAATGGTAGTAAAAATGGCTTTATGAGGTGGTGCCAGTGAAGGAATCTCAGACTTTCCTTGTGTAGAATGTACCCAGATATTTAAAGTTTTTTCTTTTTAATTTTAAATTTATGTTGAAAAATTAACCACTTCATAAAAGTATTCCTTGGAAGCTTTTGTCTCCCTGGACTAGTGTAGCAGTCATAACACAGGCGTAAGAAGTCACCGCTCAGGCCTGCTTCCAGATGAGGGCCTTTCGTGAGCCTTGTTCTCTGTGGAAGAGTAAGGAGGGAGGGAAGTCCAACGCCTGTCAAGTGCAGGAACTAGCCTCGCAGGAAGTACTGTTGTATTGATTATTCAGATAGAATATGGGTTATTTAATAAAGGGTATTTTTATTTTTAATGTAGAATAATATACTTTCAAATACTTATAGATTGCAAGCCCTCCTCCAACTTAGCTCTTATTGATTAGAACCTGGATTTTAATGAATATAATTTGTGAAAATGATAACCTATATTACTGAATTTTTATGTTTTTATCTTCCCAAATGCCAAATGCTACTCTGTTCCCACTCTATTGCTGCTGATTCTGAACTTTGACCCTTCTTGTATTTCCCTCCTGCTTACCTTTAGTTGATCCATTGATCGATGATTACTCTGGAAGTGGAGGCAAATGTGTGTATATCACGGTCATTTCCAGTACACTGACTTGCTAATCTGCCTTTGCTGGGTCAGCCTTACAGTGAGCTTTGCATGCCAGCATTCCTAACAGGGAAATCCCAGACAGAGTGTGGTGGAAAGTCCAAGTCTCTTGCTTTTACCCTTCTCCATTTAGCAAAGTAACGTAATGAATTTTAGTTTATGCCTTCACTGAAGGTGATTCTCCTACTCCATCTTCAGTGTTCCTGACCATGTAATTAAATCAAGTTCAAAATGATACTTGGGAAGGTTAGTCACACTTGATAGGCTCATACTTATTGAAAGTCTGTAATATACTTGGCCCTGTTCTAGGCACCTTAAACATAATCTCTTTTTTGATTCTGTTACTGATAAAATTATTCTATCTTTCTTTCTTACAATGCCCAGGAGTGTCTTTATGAGGGGCCGCGGCTTCTCGTGTTTAGGTTACATTTTACCCGAGAGCTTTTAATCATTTCTATGTCTACACTTTTTTTTCCCTCTTGAGTTGCTTCCTTTATGATCCAGTTATTTAATAGGGAAATTCCTTTTTAATTAGCATTGTAAATGTGAGTCTTTGTATAATTACAAAATTCATTTCTAGTTAGCCAAACTGTCTGTAATTAAAGAGCTCTGCAAGCTGGGTTAGCACTCACCTGTGCTTAGCTCCGATGATTTTTCTTCCTGTCTTGGGCCTTATCTTACTTGATCATTAGATAGACATTTTTTTCCTCTTTTCACAAATTAATATTTAAAAATTTAAAATAGATATCTAAAGTATATGACTTAATGAAGATATCTTTATATAAATGTTAAGTTGACAAGGAAGTAGTTGTTTATGCTTTTAAGATAACTCATTAAAACATGTCAAATCTCAGTTTGGGGACAAGGGAACACACAGAAGATCCCAAAGGTGCTACCAGTTACTGTGCTGACTTTAGCCCAGAGAACTGGGATGCCCAATCATGCATGTGGCTCTTGGGCCTGGAACAGCTCTGTCTGAGATCTCCAAGGCTGAAGGATATTGGTGTGAAGAGGGTGCCTTCTTGTTCTTGCTTTTGTGTTCAAGGTGCTACTGCTGGCCTGTTGCTGATCTTTTCTGAGCTGCTGTGGCATTTCCTGAAAACCATGCATGACTAAGTTTTAATCTCATAGCCTCAAAGGAGGGCAGCCCTGGCTCCTTCTCAGTTTCCTTTTGGATCTACTTCTTTTAATTCATTTACGGCTTGCATGTGTCCACAGGACCATCTAACCTCCGTCCATCCCTCCTTCCCACCTTGCTGCCATCATCTGATGGATGATTTTTGCTCCAGTTCCTGTTTGCTTTTTAAACATGCCTCTTTGCTTGTTTCCCCATGTTTCCCTTTTAATCTGCAGATGGTAGTTTTCAAACTGTCTTGAAGCAACTACCACAGGCAGACTTCAAGAACTGGTTTTTGTTACATAGTAAAAATGAGTAAACCCAGTGACTGTTTTCCCAACTATTTCCATTGCCTCATATCCTTTAAGGAAAATCTAGCTTTGATATGAATTTAAGTAATGTAGATTCTCTCAAATTTAAAAATAAGGACCAGCAAGATGGCTCAGTAGGTAAAGGTGCTTGCTACCAAACCTAGGACCTGATTTAGATCCGTGGTTCCCACATGGTAGGAGAGTACTGACTCTCACAAGTTGTTTTCTGACCACACAGGAACACACACAAAAGAAATCAATGTAATTTTTAAAACTTCTTAATGAGTAATTTTAATATAGAAGTATAAGTGGACACGTTAGCACACACCTATAATCCCACAGTATCTGCATTCAGGAGTGGGAGCCCAGAGAGTCAAGAGTTCAAGGTCATTCTTGGCCATAAAGCAAGTGTGGGGTTAGGCTGAGCTTCCTGAGACTCTGTCTTCAAACAAACAAGACAAACGGATTGCACCAATGATTTTTCTTTGCATTTGAGAAGGATGACTAATGAATGAAATCACAAAAAATCAAATCAGTGGGTTTTGTTATTGGTGGACTTTTTACCAGGACCAAGTTTAAGATCATAATTTTCAGTTGTATTCCAGACCTTAGTTAGTGCAAATATGTCTTGAAAACTTGCCTGTCATACTAGGGAGGAGAGTTCCCAGTGTTCCAGTGATTGTGCCATTAGGCACAGGAAGTTTTTACTTAAATTATCAAGTGGTTTGTAGTTTTTGTTTACTGTGACTCATAAATGGGAAATATACTAAAACTTGTTAATTCACTAATTGTTCTTTCCTATTGGAACAACTATTCACTATGAATATCATACTATGCTTCCTCAAAATTATTGCCATTTCTACAGTTCTTTTAATTTAGAATGTATCTTTGGCATGTTAAAATGCTTCTATGCAAAGACTACTAAATGCTCAGGGTTGTAACTAACATTTCTCAATTCCATTGAACACTAAACTAGGCCAGTATATGGTATTAATTGCTATTTGTCCCTTTCTGTTAAAAACAACTGGACTTTAAAAATTGAGTAAAACTGTAGATACTGAAGACTTCGAATAATTGGAAGACTTTAAAGGCTTAGTTTGCTTTAGTGTACCTGTTTAGGAAAAACATCTTTCAAGCTCTGGCTCTGCCCTCCCACACTGGAAATGTCTCAGTTCTAAATGCAGAGGTGGCTGACTGCTTAGGGTCAGTATTAAAGAGCGACATGTTTTAGAACTGCCATCTAATACAGTTTCATAGCTTGTCTGTGTTAGATCCTGTGTTAACCTTGTGCTTTGATGCTGTCCTTTCTCACACTGGTGTTCCTTCCTGTCTTTTTTCCTCCTCTGCTCCTCTCCTTCTTTTTTTCTACCTTTTCTTTTTTCTGTCTCTCAGATCTGAAAGATTTTCAGAACAATAAGCATAGGTACTTGCTAGCCTCTGAGAATCAACGCCCTGGCAATTTTTCCACAGCATCCATGGGGTCTCTTACTTCATCTCCATCTTCATGCTCACTTACTAGTCAGGTGGGCTTAACATCTGTGACCAGTATTCAAGAGAGGATCATGTCTACCCCTGGAGGGGAGGAGGCCATCGAACGTCTAAAGGTGAGTCTAAAGATGGAATGCAGAGCATTCTGTGTCGTTCTAGAAGGCGGGACTAGGACTGGATGAGCAGCACAGAAACTTTGGCTTAGCATGTGGAGAGGCTAACAGTTAGAGGTGCCCTGAAAATGAAATTATTTGTTTTATTTAAGTTAATTTCTTTTTATTAGAATGTTTGAGTTTGACTTGGCCAGAGATGAAAAGGTCCTAAGTTAGTCATGCAAAATAGCTGATGAGTAGAGAGAGAGTTGTTACATTAATTTGAGGGTAATTTATAAGTCACAGTCAAGTTGCTAGTTAGACATTTAGTTTTAAAGCTAGACATAGTGGCATGAGCCTGCTAAGCCAGTATTCAGGAGATGGAGAAAGGAGGATTAGGTGGTCAGCATCATCCTGGCTTCGTAGTTTTGAGGCCAGCCGAGGTAATATGAAACCCTTTCTAAAGTAGTAATAATTTAAATGGAATAACTTATCGGAAAATTTGGTTTCACTGAAGATAGAATTCTCCATAGAGTCATTCTTCTATTAGTAATATTAATATATAATTAACTGAAAGTTTGAACATTTGAGTAGTGGTAGCAGGTTTATTAGGTTACATGAAATTATACCTTTTAGAACTCACAAAGCCCTTAGTTATGGCAGAAGAGGGCTTTCTCTGCCTCTCTGGTGCAGCTGGGATCTGTGGGCCTCGGTGCTACACAGCTGTAGATTGCCCGCTGTATCAGTTACTTGTTGGAGCCAAATACCTGAGAAGCAGCGTAAGGGAGAGTTCATTTCATCTCATGGTTTGAGGTTAATCTAAAGAGAAGGCGTGGCTAGGAGGTCACGTGAGGCCGCTTGCTCGTCTTCGAAGATCCGGAAGCAGAGAAAGGAGAATGGTAGACTCACCTGGCTTTCTCCTTGCCCCTCTTTATTTTGGTCTTGAACCCTAATTCACAGGATAGTGCTGCCACATTCGTGGTGGGTCTTCTCTCCTTAGCTTCTCTGGCAGTACTATCACTGACAGTCAGACGTGTATCTAATTTTAAATTGGTTTAAGTTGATTATCACATTATCCCCTGTCCCCTGGCTCCCAGCTCTGCAGATGCAGGGGTACTTTCAGTCTGTTGTTGGCTATGCCCATTTGTGTTTTGTCTCTGCATGAATGTGAAAATCAGGAGCAGTCCTTCTCCTCTTCCCTTCAGTGACTGCAATGACAGCAGACAGTTGTCACCTGTGGTGCTGAGGCCACACTGCCAGCGCTGTGGCCAGCCATCAGACCACAGCAGGAACATCATGTTCTCTTTGCTGCCTGCTGCCTCCATCCTTTTGGCCTTTGTATTCAAGAGTCCGAGGGTAGGGGAAACTCACTTAGAATATGGGAGACACTACCATGCTCCCAGTCAGGGATCCTCTTCACCATCACTCCGTATCCCCCACTACCAACTGTGCCCATCGGAAGACAGTTGAGAACAGCAGCACTGTAATAGGCAAAGTTACGAAAGAGGAAGGCAGGCTCGCTGGCTTGTTGAGCACTGCACTATGGAGGCCGGTGAGTCTGTGTCAGACGTTTTCACTGTGGCTTTCAGGTGAGCTGTAACAGACATTCTGTGAGGCAGGCTTCAGAGTTCTTTTTTATCATCCCATCTTTTCCCTTGATAACTTTCTTCAAAAAGAAGGTGATTCCAAAATAAAAACAATGCTTTTGTGTCTTGATTCAGAAAGTAAGTGAAGTTCTAAAATGCCTGGTAAAAGGAGAGGAAGGAGACATCTTTTTATTCGAGGTTGCGAGCGAGGTACAGGGTAATCTCTGCTGTTGAGAAACCGACTTGGAAGCTTTCCTACAAATTCTGTTGAAGTCTCGTGTGGGAAGGTGTGTTCATTCACAAATGTCCTCATTAGTGGGGGTCAGTGACCATGTTGCCGGCAGGACTCCAGCAGTGGGAAAGTGAAGCTTACCTCTTACTGTTCACAGCAAATGTTCACCTCTTTTAGAGATTTTGAATCTTAACTATTTTTATATTGTACCTTCCTGTACAATTGAGATTACCTTTTTCCTTCTCTGATGTAAAGGAGAAATTTCTTTCTGGTTGTTAGCTAGAACCAACTGAAAGTAATGCCACATGTTAGGAGTCAAGACAATAAGTGGGTTTTTTAAGAATTAGGTCACCAGTAGCCATTCCCAGTGGCTTTTAGGAAATAATGCTTTCCTTATTCAAAGAGCTCTCCCGCAAATGCCTACATCTGATGAAAACAGTGTGTAATACTGTAATACTTTAATCAGCACATAAACTGCTCTCTTAATTTCCCTTGAAGCAACGTAAGTAAAATATTTTTTTCTCTAGCTTTATTCTAGATAGCAGGTAGCTTCTTTTTCTTCAGTGAACTCTGTGCTCAGTCACACTGTAGCTCACTGAAGCAGAAGCGCCTTGGTTCTGTTCTTACGTTGTGAATGGCGAGAATTCCTTTTGGACAGGCCTGCATTTTAATGATGCAGCCAGAGAACATCTTTCGTCCTGAGTGTGGGACAGCAGTTGTACAATAGAAACGCTTGAGAATGTCTTAGGAACTGCATTCCTAAAGCATGACACTGCAAGAGACAAATACTGCAATGGAGAACAGCAACAATGGAGGCTAATCCATCTTCCTAACGGTTTATTTGCCTTGGCTCCTCTGTAGTTTAGCTTCAGGTCAGCATTCGCACATTACTTCTAAATAAGTGCTGCTCTCTCTCTCCATTGAGTAGCCTGTTTCCACATATAATACTAGTATCCCTATTCCTTTCTAAACTTCTCTGGCCCAAAAAAAAAAAAAAAGAAAAAGGAAAAGAGAAAAAGAAAAGAAAAAACAAGATAGTGGCATGTAATTTTTCTTTAAAGCCATGACTTGAACTGAGTTGAAATCTCTGTATATATATGATTTGGTCTTTTTACTCAGTACTAAGTTTTGTTTTGTTTTTTGAGTCAGGGTTTCTCTGTGTAGCCCTGGCTGTCCTGGAACTCACTCTGTAGACCAGGCTGGCCTCGAACTCAGAAATCCACCTGCCTCTGCCTCCCAAGTGCTGGGATTAAAGGCGTGCACCACCTCCGCCCGGCTCAGTACTAAGTTGTAAGCATGTAGCTCTAGCCACTGGCTCTGATGTTTATAGACTGCATCAAAGCCAGTACTGAGAATGCCGTATCCCAGATTTAGCCTATAAATGTCTATAAGCATCCATCATAGAAGTGGGCAGGGCAAATGCTGTCCAAAGCAGTCTTTTGGCCCCATACTTGAACTTACTCAGGAAGCTTTCGTACAGTGAAGCCTTAGCTACATGCTGGCTTCAAGCAGTGCTCCATGGAGTAAGCGTCTAATCTTCCAAACGTTAAAACCTAAGCTACAGTATTTTTGGGGGGAAGTATTTCTGATTTGCCCTGCCAAATTTTCTGCCTTCTTACTGACTCATCAAGAACTAAAGAGCTGAGCATAGTGCACATGCCTGTAGTCTCAGCGCTTACTCGGAAGGCTGAACCAGGAAGATCAGGAATTCAGCATCATCTTTGACTAAATAGTGAATTGAGGTCAGGCAGGGCTACATGAGATCCTGTCTAAATAAATAAATGAATAAGTGAATAAATAAATAAATAGTACAGATCAGTAATATTTAGGAAGGCCAGCTCAAGGAATAAGATATACTTAGGTTAATTATTTAATTTTTGATCTCCAGTTTTCTTGTCTATCGATGATTGTAGAGCGAGTAGTTATTTGGTCTTTGCTAGCACTAAAGGTTTGCTAGTATGCCACTCAATTTACGTTTTCTTTATGCCTTTGGAGTGTTTGGAGTCTTTTGTTTTTTGTTTTTTGTTTTGAGACAGAGTATCTCTGTGTAGCCCTGGCTGTCCTGGAACTCACTCTGTAGACCAGGCTGCCCTCAAACTCACAAAGATCCACTTACCTCTGCCTCCCAAGTGCTGGGATCAAAGGTGTGCGCCACCACTGCCCGGCTTTCCTTGGAGCCTTTTGAAAAAGCTTTTTAAACAATGTAAATATTACAACTTGAAACCATGATTTAAAAAACAAAGAAAAGAAAGAAAAAAGTGCATTTTGCACTTTTGCAAAATGGATGTTGGTATCACCCTTCCTCTATCTTGTGCAAATGGACATATGGATTCACTATTTGTCTATTTTTGATTAGGACTTGGAAGATTTGTGTGTCTGATGTGTACTTAATTTAAGCTTGATTTTGAGTTTGAGTTGCTTTGTAATAAGAAAAGATGAGGTAGAGTTAAAAACAAATTTATGATTCTTACCTTTTAAAAAAGAAAAAGATTCTTAGATTCTTCCTGTGTCTTCAGAGGGAATTATCTGTTTTATGCTTCCCTTGCTGAACACGGTATATTAACCTATGGCTCTTCTCCTTCAATCTGTGCGTTCTTCCCTAGGAGTCAGAGAAGATCATTGCTGAGTTGAATGAAACCTGGGAAGAGAAACTTCGTAAAACAGAGGCCATCAGAATGGAGAGGTCAGGAGATAAAAATCTTTGTTGCCACTAAGTTTTCTGGGGAGTTTAGTGGCTTTTGTAGTTAAAAAAAAAAAAAAAAAAAAAGCTGAGATAGAATTAAAAACAAGGAACCCTCTCCCCTTCTGAAACACAACACAAATAAACCTACCTTGGGAAGGTGTATCCAATCACATTTATACTTTGGAGTGAAATCTACATATTTAAAGATTCTCTAGGGCAGCAGTTCTCAACCTGTGGACAGGGGTCACATGTCAGATACTGTGCATATCAAGTGCTTGCATTACTATTCATAACAGTAGCAAAATTATAGTTATAAAGTAGTAACACAGTTTTATGGTTGGGGGTCACCCCAACATGAAGAATCACGTTAAAGGGTTGCAGTGTTGAGAAGGTTGCGAACCACCGCTCTAGGGAGTCACGTCTTAATGGCTACCACACCTGATGCTGCTTGGGATTGGGGACAATCATACTAAGTAAAGGAGATGTCCTACTTATGTAAAAAGTAGACTTCACTTGGTTATGGCCCATATGTAAAGAACCGTTCTTACTCTGTCAAGTTACTTCATCTAGAACCTTTTGGGTTAAAGGTATAGGTTAGGTTGCAAAGTTTTAAAATTCTTACTATGTTTATACTGTTGGAATAATTGCCCACTTAAAAAAAGTCAGTTCCTATCTTCCCTTTTTATGAAAATGAGGGAAAAACAAACTCTGATATTCTGACTAGTAAACGTAACAAAGAATTTTCTTACTCACCTTAGACCTTTTAAACTAGAATTTTTGGAGCAGGCAAGATGTCTCAGCACATAAAGGTTGCTTGCTTTTCAAGCCTGATTACCTGAGTTAGAGCCCTACGCCCCACATGAAGGTGGAAGGAGAAAATCAAATTCACAAAGTTGGTCCCACAACATCAGGCACATGCACAATAAACACACACATACACACACAAAAAAAAAAACAACCAACAAAACCCAGAACCTTCCTATAATTACTGTACCAAAATGGTGGGGGCGTATGGGAACATGACATTTAAGAAAAGTCACATTCACAGGCTATACTTCATATATCCAAGCTACCCGCTTCCGCTCACCCCTGTATTAAATCTGTGTCTTCACTAATGGTAACACCAGAGTGCTAGCCCCCGAGTCATTTTGATTGCATTCTTAGATTCTAGGGAAATTAATTTTTCATGTTGGATGCATAGCCTTAAGGAATATAACTTTTCAAAATTCTTACCTAGATGAACAGAACTTTAGCATGGAAGTATTCTTTGATTTATTTTGAATACTGTTTCTCTTAAAAATAGGTTCTCATCAGTGACAAGCATATCATTCTCTGTCTCCCTTGCCAGCATTAGATATAGCCAACTGTTTTTGCTTTGCCTGTCTTGTTTTCCAGCTCTTTTAAAACTAGTCTAATTGATGTTTTGGTTTTAGTATTCTGATTTGCTTGGGTTTTTGTTTTGTTTTTCAAGAGAAGCCTTGTTGGCTGAGATGGGAGTTGCCATACGGGAAGATGGGGGAACGCTTGGTGTTTTCTCACCTAAAAAGGTAAGAAAACATGTTGTAAAACAGAAACAAAACAGTTTGTCTTAGCCACTTCATGTCTTCCAGAGAGCCTTTTTTATCTAGATCCTTAGCTTAATGTCAGGTATTTCTGATTTCATCTTACATACAAGGACAACCTAGCTGTAAAGTGATTATAGTGGTTACATAAGATAAAACCCCAGACAGGGAGACTTTTAGTCTTGGGTGTGTTTAAGCATCTCTTTGTTGCTCCTCTTACCTTCCTGACCTAGCTGTAGCACCAGTTGCTTTAGTGATGCTCCTTTTTTTATGTTCAGTGCTTGCCTACTGTGCAGTTAGCCCTGGGTTTGATCTGTGGTACCATACATTTTGAGAAGGATGTCACATGTCTATAACCCCAGCGTTGAAGAGTTTGCTGCAGTCAGCGGTCATCAGCTCTGCTTTAAAGCTTTGGGAACCATTTCTAGTTGCTGATGTTTGTGAACAACAGCTCTGTCTCATGATTTCTGTTACTTCTAACCATTTCTTTGAATAAAGTAGCTCTAATCTTTACCTTCTAGATGCTTCTGTTTCTTTAGCATGCTTTTCTTTTAAAGGTTTATTCATTTATAAGAATGCACTGGTTGTACGTACACCTGAAAGCCAGTAGAGGACATCAGATCCCATTACATATGGTTGTGAGCCATCGTGTAGTTGCTGGGAATTGAACTCAGAACCTCTGGGAGGAGACAGTGCTCTTAACCACTGAGCCATCTCTCTGGCTCCCAACCAAGCTTTTTTCTCTCCTCTCCTCTCCTCTCCTCTCCTCTCCTCTCCTCTCCTCTCCTCTCTTCTTCTCTTCTTTTTCTTTTTTTTTTTTGTATGTGATTAGATTTGTCTCTTCTTTCTACTTGTGCAATCATAGTTGTAGAATAATGAGGGACCTTCTTGTTAGTTAGGTTGATAGCATGTCTTATGTGTTCTTTTTTACTTGAGTTGCTTCCTAGTGTTGGATACTAGAATACCATTATTAAATTACTGTTTTGTGCTTTTCTTTGTAGAACAGCAGTAGAGTATATAGCGATGTACCAAGCATATGTGTCATAGCACTGATAACTCCCTTAGGAGCTTCTGGGCATACTCAGTGGTACCCTACAATGTATATGGCCCCAGGCTCAATGTCCTACTATTGTACTGTTAAGAACAAATATCTATGTGCATAGATTCTGTTCTAGGTTAGAGTACAAGGGCAGAGAGTTTTGAGTTGGCACTTTTGTTTAATGTGAACTAGTCTTAGAATTTTTGTGAAGATTCGTTTGGTTACTTTTTTAAAAATCATAATCATAAAACTGTTCTACAAATTCTAATATGCTATTTTCAACAGAAAATATCGTTTTAGCTGGGTATGATGACACACACCTAAATTATAACACTTACGAGGTGAATACAGGAAGATCCGAGTCCAGTATCTGCTTCATAATATATTCAAAACCAACCTGGATCATAAACAAGAAGAAAGGAGCTGGAGGGATTCTCAGCAGCTAAGCACAGTTGCTGTTTTTCCAGTGGAGCCTACTTTGGTTCCTGGCACCCAAGTAGGATGGCTAACAACTGCCTATCACTCTAGCTCGGAGGACCCCAGAGTTGAGTCGTTCTACCAAGGGTCCATTGTTTCACACACAGCACCTGCACGGTAGAGATTCTAGCAGTTATGGTTTTGAGAGAGCTTAGATTTTGCTCCTGCATACCTCTAAAAAGGTTCTCTTCTTTTGAGGCAGAGTCTCATATATCTCGGGTGGCTTAAGACTCATGTGTCTCGGAGGATGACTTGGAACTTCTGATCTCCCTGCCCCCTTAAGCAGTGGGACTATTGGCATGTGGCACCCTTCCCCATATATGTGGTACTAGAGATCAAACCCAGAGCTTATTGTGTGAGAGGCGTGCCCTCTATCACCTGGGCTACCTCCACAGCCCTTAAGTTTTCATGGCATTGTTGTGTGTGGGTTAAGAATTGTAACTCACCAGTTAAACTTTTCTTTTCTTTTCTTTTCTTTTCTTTTCTTTTCTTTCTTTCTTTCTTTCTTTCTTTCTTTCTTTTTTGTTTTTTTTTTTTTTTTTTTGTTTTTTGTTTTTTTTTTTTTTGTTTTTTGAGACAGGATTTCTCTTTGGAGCCCTGGCTGTCCTGGAACTCACTCTGTAGACCAGGCTGGCCTCGAACTCAGAAATCTGCCTGCCTCTGCCTCCCAAGTGCTGGGATTAAAGGCGTGCTCCACCACTGCCCGGCTAAACTTTTCTGCTATGTGTAAGCACCTGGATTCAAGGTGTTTGGGGAAAACAAACAATCAATCAAACAAGCAAAAAAAACAACTTAGACAAGGAGTTTGGTAGCTAGCCAGACATGGTGGCAAATGCCCTTAATCGCAGCCCTGGGGAGGCAGCGGCAGGCGGATCTCTGAATTCAAGACTAGTCTGCTCTGCAGAGAGAGTTCTGGGACAGCCAGGGCTACACAAATAAACTGTCTCAAAAAAACAAAATAAGTAACAATATCATATTTAGTAAGAATTTTCAGTAAATTGTAAACAACTTAAAATTATAAGTTTAACTCTCTACTTTCAAAGGTTTTTCTTGCTTTCAAAGGTTTTCTAGACTTTTCTCAGGAAAAGAAAAGAAATACTGCAGACCACGTTTAGACTCAGTAGAGGTTGTTGCTGAGGCTCCTTTTTCTTAGTCCCCTAATGAGATTAAAAAGAATGCTGCCCACTAGCCGGGTGGTGGTGGTGGATGCAGCACACGCCTTTAATCCCTGCAGTCAGGAGGCAGAGACAGGCACATCTCTGAGTTTGAGGCTAGACTAGTATATAGAAAAAGTTCCAAGACAACCAGGGCTATGACAACCAGGGCTACACAGATAAGCCTTGTCTACACATGCGCACGCACACACACACACATACCTACCTCAAGGAGAAAGAGAAGGAGAGGAGGAGAAAGAAAGAGACTGCTGTCTCTCAAGGCTTCTGATGCTTTTGGAGCAGCCCACTTCTTCCATCAGAAATGTAGAAGCTGGTGATGACGCAGATACCGCCTTAGTTCCTTTCAGACGGCCCTTGACATCCTTCCCTTCACGCTCATCCACTGCTCTCTTCCGTTCTTCCATATTTGTTGCCACTATCTCGGGTAGATATTGGCCCCAAGACCATGTGACTTATTTTTGGATTCCAGAGGGGGATTTTCACCAAAGAAAGATGCTTTTTAAGATTTTTTAGAAATATTAGTGTAGCCGGGAGGTGGTGGCACATGCCTTTAATCTCAGCACTTGGGAGGCAGAGGCAGGCGGATTTCTGAGTACGAGAGTTCAAGGCTAGCCTGGTCTACAGAGTGAGTTCCAGGACAGCCAGGGCTACACAGAGAAACCCTGTCTCGAAAAAAACAAAAAAAGAAAAGAAATATTAGTGTTAGATGAACAGTACTTTTAGAAGGTGTTTATGCTGTTGGCTGTTATTAACTTTAAATTTTTTTTCCAGTAAGATAAATACTAGTAAAGACAATAACTAGGGCCATGAAAATTGTAGAGGGAACTGAATATTTTAATTAAAATGGAATTTTTTAATTTAAAAAGGGATATGAATAGTTTAATTAAAATTGAAAACTCTGTTTTAAGTTTTTGTTGTTTTGTTTTGTTTGAGACCAGGTTTTTCTGTGTAGCCCTGGCTGTCCTGAAACTTGCTCTGTAGATCAGATCAGACTGGCCTCAAACTCACAGAGATCCACCTGCCTCTGCCTCCTGAATGCTAGGATTAAAGGCATAAAGTGTTTTAAAACATGGCTGGTTTAAGATTTTTAGTTTTATCTTTTTAAAAAAGATTTACGTATTTATTGTATGTATATAAGTGCTCTACCTGCACACACACCTGCAGGCCTGAAGAGGGCATCAGATCCGATAACAGATGCTTATGAGCCACCATGTGGTTGCTGGGAATTGAACTCGGGTCGTCTGAAGAAGGCAGTGTTCTTAACCACTGAGCCATCTCTCCAGTCCCTACTTTAGGATTTTTAATCTACTCATTTACAAAAATTGCATTTAGCTTGTTTAAGACTTGGTCTGTTTTAACTTTTTCTTTTCCCTTCTGAGGATCTGGTCATGACTTGTCTCATAGAGTTGCTTGCCACACTAACCAGACAGCCTGAGTTTGAACCCCAGACTCCAGAATGTTGAAGAAGAGATCCACCTTCCTCAAGTTGTCTGTTGATTCCCAGACACCTCTTGCCTACTGAGCTATGTCTCCAGCCCCCTTATTTTTTATTTTTTATTTTTATTTATTTATTTATTTATTTATTTATTTATTTATTTTGAGACAAGATCTTACTGTTTAGTCCTTACTGGCCAGAAACTCTGTGTAGTTCAGGTTGGCCATGAGATCTACCTGTCTCTTCCTCCAGAATGCCACCATACCCAGCCCAACTCAGGCTCTTACACAGGATGGAGTAGTGATCTGAGGAGGCCTATAGAGCAGGTCTCTTTCCTTAGTTTCAGAGTTGCCGCTGGGACTTTTACTGATGCTCTCACCATAGGCACGCACCCTGGGGCATCTGTGAAGCCTTTAGGCCTCCAGCAGACCCTTGTTGCTCCAGCTCTCTCATGGTGTTTGCCCCAAAGTAATACTCTCTAACCTTTTTCAGACTCCTCATCTTGTTAACCTCAATGAAGACCCACTAATGTCGGAGTGTTTGCTTTATTATATCAAGGATGGAATTACAAGGTATATTTGCTTTGTTTGAGCTGTTTTTTATATTTTCTTCTAAATAACTGATAGCTAAAGGAAATTATCTAAAAATGTTTTTTTAAATAATTTTCTCTCTCTCCTTTTTGAAATGATTGTAAATGATCTTCTCCCCTCTCCTCAGTTGTTAGTACTCAGTTTCCTCTAGGCGAACGTGAATGAAAATTACTCTGTAACAACATACATGAGGTCACTAGAGAGGTGGTTTGCTCTGTCTCTCATGGTGTGTAAGTTACATCAGTGTGTTGCTTTCCCAGTGCATTGCTCATGCAGGAAGGCTCATCGTACTTGAGAACAGAATTTGTAGTTGAAAGCCTCCAATATAAAAAAACGGTGCATTTTTTTTATATATATATCAAAGAATGTTCTTAGAGAGAAAGCAGTTCATTGTCTGTAAGTGCTTTTTGTGTCTGAATTTCCCTGGGAAACACTTCCCCTTGTGTTCAGGGTTGGCCAAGCAGATGCAGAGCGGCGCCAGGACATAGTGCTGAGTGGGGCCCACATTAAAGAAGAGCATTGTATCTTTCGGAGTGAGAGGAACAACACCGGTGAAGGTGAGGGTTTTGTGGTTTCATTTCTCAAGCACCTTTTCCTTGAAGTATGAGAACTTTTAAGATTTGGAATTGCCTGTCTCTATTAATGGAAATTTTGGTCCATCAATATTGACTGGAGAAACTTGGGGTGTTTATAAATGCGAGGACAGACATAGTTACTTAGCATGAAAATAGCAGGAACAAAGGGGGCCTTTCTTCCTGCCAAGAACACGGATGTGGGCAACTAGGTCTGGTCTTGAATGTTAACTATTTAATAGAAAAGTAAGAGAAAAATAACTCTTCTAGGTAACGGGAGATTTGAAAAATCTTTAATACTAGCCTAGTAGACTTTATTTTTATCTTAAAGGGAAGAAAAGTCAATTTTGTGTGAGTCTCCACCCCAGCACAGTTCATTAACATGACAGCAGCTAACTGATGGCATTTCCATGCCAGGCACTAGCTTCTTCCCTGAGCATATAATTCTTCATCAAACACAATGTTAGCTTTAATTTGTGTATCATACTTAAGATTTGTGCTGAATCAGACTTTATCAAAATTAGTATTTTCTACCTTCTTTTGGGGGCATGTAAAATTCAGTTAAATATTTTTAGCATAGCAATAACTCCCAATAGCTTCCTATACCGATTTTAGTTGTAGAATATTGAAACAAACAAAAATAGCAAAACTCCACACAAAGAAACTAAGAGAAACCCCTGTCTCGTAGACACAGTCTCTTGGTTGCAAGGATCTGTTTACTGAGAGTCTGGTGGTGACCCACTTCTCCTTGTTTGGTTTATGATAATAACATCATTTGTATTCTTCCTAGTTATTGTGACCTTAGAGCCCTGTGAGCGCTCGGAAACGTATGTGAATGGCAAGAGGGTGGCCCATCCAGTTCAGCTTCGCTCAGGTGAGGCTCAGAGGAAAGAAGTCTGAAGTCATCAGCAGTGTACATACGGCTTCTGTGAGCAGCACATCTTTTGACTCTATTTTAAGGCTAAACTTACTCTAGGATTCATGGTCTTGTAAAAACTACAAAACTGTCTTTTTAATCTTGCTTTTGTTACTCCTTATTTGGTTATCTTCATTGTTTTTGAGACAGGGTCCCATTAAGTAGTACTGGTTGACCTAGAATTCACTATGTAGACCAGGTTGGACCCACAGAGATCTTCCTATCCCTGCTTCCTGAGTGCTGGGATTAAAAGCCTAGTAACTGCCTTCTTATATTAAGAGAGTGAAATTGTTTTTCATTTTTTGAGATAGGTTTTTCCTGTGTAGCCTGGGATAGCCTCCAAGTTGTAAGCCTCTTGCTGTGGCCTCCTCAGTGCTAGGATTACAAGCATATGCCACCTTGTCTGGCAAGATTAACATTTTAAAAACTAGATACTGTTTATTAAAATGGACTCCTTAGAAGTGGGTCTGTAGCTGATTGGTCAGGCACGTGTGCTGCTGTCTACAGGGCTCTGGACTTGATTCGCATCACTGTAAAACAGATAAATTCTTATCCCTATTTCTGTTTTGTTAGGGAACCGGATCATCATGGGTAAGAACCATGTCTTTCGTTTTAACCACCCTGAACAAGCACGAGCGGAGCGGGAGAAGACCCCCTCTGCTGAGACCCCCTCCGAGCCCGTGGACTGGACGTTCGCTCAGAGAGAGCTTCTCGAAAAACAAGGGATTGATATGAAGCAGGAGATGGAAAAAAGGTAATCCATGAGTGTTATACACCCTGTAAGACGCTTGTCCCTGAGTGTTATCCATCCTGTAAGACGCTTTGAAACATTCAGCAGCTTTCACAAGGCAGCCTGGTGGTTCCATAACTTACTCTAATTTTGATATTTTGTTTCTGTTGTCCGTTTTAATTCTAGGCTTCAGGAAATGGAGATCCTTTACAAAAAGGAGAAGGAGGAAGCTGATCTTCTTCTGGAGCAGCAGAGACTGGTAGGGCTCTGTCCTGAATCTGCAGCTATTGGGAAGGGCAGGTGCTCATGCCTCTAGCAGGCTCTCACTGGGACTGTCATATATCTTCTGGCAGTCTTAGTCCAAGAAGACATCCATAAAGGTACTGTTCAGTACCTTTTCTTTCTTAAAATTAGATCTTAACTTCTATCACATTCAAGAGCCTTTTGAGGAAATAGTGAGAGTTTTCAGACACCTTTGCCCTTCAGTGGTGCCTTTTCAATGAGCACCAGGAGTGGTCCTTTAAGTGACAGTACTTGAACATTGAACTTGGTGGGCGTTTGCCTTGGTTTTGTTTCTGGCCACCTGATAGTACTAATTCTCCGCTCTGAGGCTGACATGGGGATTGTTCTTGTGCTGAGCAGGTTGTTTTTCTTTCATTGTTTTTCTTTAAAGTTAAATTGTGTCTAAAAGTGTTGCTGCACAGTTGCATGTGTTAATCCTTTTCTGTTGCCCTGCATGGAGTCTGAATTCTCAGTAAGGTTCTCGGTGGCTTTCGTGGTACCAGTGTAGTGGGGTTGCATACCCATCTCAGGAGAGGGACGCTGCTGGCTCTGGGTTGAGAAAGGCTTTGGGTAAGCAGTCGGAAAGTCAGTTCACTGTTGCAGCCATAATGGGTTAGCACTTTATGATGATAATTAATTTCCTAGGTTTTATAAAAATGTCTTATGAATAAAGAAATTGCTCTTAGCAGATTTTAATGTTAAGGCCAGCCCTGGTAGTAAGAGGTTCTATGGTGCTGGATGTGGTGGCACACACCTTTAATCCCCGCACTCAAGGGTAGAGGCTGGAGGATCTCTGAGGCCAGCCTGGTCTATATAGTGAGTTGCAGAACTTCCAGGGCTACAAAGAGAGGTTAAATACAATTGATACAGTTTAGGAAGTTACTTTTTTAAAAAAGGAGGTATTAATGAGAAATCAAGGGGAGGATGCTGGCTTCTTCCTGTAGTATGAAACACAGCATACAAGTTTTAACCTTATGCCAGGCTTTGTTCTGTCGGAGAATTATCACTTTGTGGACCATGGAAGCTAAGACACTAAGTAAAAGCAGCCTTAGTTGGAGCACTTGGTTCTTGGTAGTGGGTTAAACCACTTAATTTATTATCTTTAAATTTATAGTTAAGTCTTGAAAAATATGGATTGGAAGAATAAATTAAGCACTTGGAACAAGATAACATCAATGGTATAATGAGAGTGTCTCTAGAAGACTCACTTGGCTTTGGCTTTAATGGTTAAGGCTTGAAAGATTTGTGACACATGAAGTAGTCTTTTATGATAATTATGTAGTGTAATTTAATAACATGCCTCTGATGGTCTGCGAGACATCAAGGAGGAAAGGTTTAATTAAGCACTAGTTATTAACAATAGTGTCTCCTACTTAAACGTAGAGTGCTTTGTAATTTACAAAGAGTCTTAACATCTATCATTTTACTTGATCCTTGAGACGACTCTGTTAGACAGATAGATGTGTGTGTAAGTGAAGTAAATGTATAACATTGCCTTTAGTTTGTAGTTGAGGTTAAGGCTGAAAACAATATTACTGTGCATACATCATTTTAAAAATTTGCTTCTGTAGTGGCCTTACATACCTGCTAAGTCATGGATCTAAACCTTAAGCTTGAGTCTTGTAGCTTATCTCAGTGCTTCTCAGTCACTGGGAATATTTTAAAAACATAGGTAGTGATTGAGCCCGGGTCGGGATCTGGACGTCTGAGGTTCTCAGAAGTTCCCCGGTCATGATGGTGCTAGTGGCTGCGGGAGCACACCGTAAATAAGTAGGCATTAAAGAGTGATAATCTGGTGCTCCCCACTAACCAAACGTTGATGATCATTTTATGCCTTGACATAAAGACACTGGAGCCTGACATGGTGTCACACAACTGAAACCCAGCCACCTACAAGGCTGAGGCAAGAGGATCATAGGTTCATAGAAAGTTTGTACAGCTCAACAAGATGCTGCCTACAAATCTAAAACAAACTAAAAAGGGAACGGGGTTATGGTTACAGGGACTGGGATTGCATAGCATGCAGAAGCTCTGGGTTCAATCCTGAGGAAAGGAAGGAAGGGTAGGAGGGATGGAGGAAGAAATACTAATAAGAGAAAGTAAGTTGTCTTTAAGATATACTTAGTGTTGCTTTTTAGGGGGACCTCCATAGACTGTAGGTAATGATGTTCTGGTTGTTGTTTGTTCTGTGCATCTGAAGGTAAGCTAGGATAGTAAGGGCAGTTCCCTTGTAGCAAGGAAGTTGCTTTCTATCCAGAAGTCTACTGATAGAAATGTGGTTTTATGATTCTGTGTTGGTCAACCAATATGTGCCCTATAAAGATTGAGAGAATATGAAGAAATTGCTGTTTTCACTATTTTATTAAAATATTCACAAATTATTTTTAGATATCATTATTAAATATCAAATACTATAATTTTTAACACAGTGACAGCATTAAAAAATTGTAATTCAGAGCCCACCAGATGTCTCAGTGGAAAAAGGTGCTTATCATCCAGCCTGATGACCTGAATTTTGTCTCTGGAACCTACATGGTGGAAGGAGAGAACTGACTCCTGTAGTTGTCCTCTGGCCTCCACACATGTGTCATGGCAAGAGCAGGCCTTCAAATACACACATATGCATGCACATGCATACATATATACATTCCATAATCTTTTAAAGCTGTAGTTAATGAATCTTCTGTAATGACAGCTCTCAGATGCAGCCCTCTTCTGTGTGAACATCTCTTACGGTCAGTGCTCTTGAATCCTGTGTCCTCCATCCTAGCGTTTTCAATATTCCTGTCTCTTCTTCTCAGTTGCATGGATTCATTTGTAGAACTTTCTGGCAGGCCCATCGTGCATTTGGTATACAGTAAACATGTATGAAGCTTTTAGTGACAGGTGAAGTGACAAGGCCCAAGTAGTATTTCCAGCTCTGTAATCAGTGAGTCCAAATAGCATTAAATATTCTTTAATTGAAATGAGACTTAAAACTTGTGTTTGTATCATGGTCAGAATGAGATACGGTAGCAAATTTGAGCTGTAATGAGCTAGGTTTTTTTGGGGGGGTTGTTTGTTTGTTTGTTTGTTTGAGATAGGGTTTCTCTGTGTAGCCCTGGCTGTCCTGGAACTCACTCTGTAGACCAGGCTGGCCTCGAACTCAGAAATTCGCCTGCCTCTGCCTCCCAAGTGCTGGGATTAAAGGCCTGCGCCACCACTGCCCAGCAAGAGCTAGTTTAATAGTAGTTTTAAAAAGGAAGAAAATTATGACTGTTTGATTTAATTTGAGTTTTTGAGTTTATATAGACTATTATGTTTCATTTTAGAATTTCAAGGTGTCTTTGATTTCTCAAGTCTGACACTTAAGTAATGATTAGACTATTTGCTGTTTTCTAGATTCAGAAATATTCACTTTATCCCTAAGAAATTATAAAAGAAAAAACAGCCAAGAAATAAAATAATATTTATGTGGAAGATTGTAAGATAACTTGTGTTGTACAAAACTACGTTTATATAGTTGAAAAAAGTCCCACTCAAGGCAGACATGCTTTTTCTTCTACTGTTGTTGTCCTGAGACAGGACATGGCTCAGTCAGTCAAGTAGCTGCACCATGTAAAGGCCCAGGGGAAGGGCCAGGCACGGCAACTCCCTAGCCTCCAGATGCGTCAGAGACAGGTAGTCTCTAAACCTCATTGGCTGGCCAGCCTAGCTGACCGCAGGAGAACACTGACCTCCACACGCGCAACACATACACAAAGGTTTCCTTTCGTGGTGCTGGGACTGAGCCTAGGGCCTTGCCCATGCTAGGCAAGCCCTTTGTCACTAAGCAATACTTAAAGCTCCCATCCCGCCTCTGTAAACTGAAAAGGAGAACAGGGACAAGTAGATGTCATAGTGAGTAAAACATGTGCTGTGCAAGCCTGAGGACTTGGGTTTGGATCGCCCCGCGCCCATGTGAATCCAGGCCTGGAGACATGCGTTAATCTAACCTGGGGCTGGGGACAGCCAGGTGGATTCTGGGGTCGCATAGCCAGCCAGTTTAGTGCAAATGACAAGCTCTAGGTTTAACAAGAGCTCCTGTCTGAAGACACAAGGTGTAGAGAGACAGAGGAAGATATCCAACATAGACCTCTGGCTTCCACACATGTACACATGCATATACCACAAAAGTATACTTCAAAAGTATAGAATCTGTAAGCTTGCCTCGATCTGCTTTTCCTTGTTAATTTTCAAGTAGAGTCTATAAGTGGGTTTAGTACCTGTTTATTTAAGAGAAGTACAAATCAATAGCAGTGTCTTTAAATTCAAAAGCCCAATCATTATCATTATTGCAGATACTAGTTTTTGATTCCCTCCTAAGATGACCGTATGTGCAGATAGTTGTGTCTTGAAAATAAGATATGCTATTCAGTTTTGATGTCTGATGGATGGTGGTGGCACATGTCTTTAATCTCAGCAATTGGGAGGCAGAGGCAGGCGGATCTCTGAGCTTGGTCTACAGAGTGAGTTCCATGATAGTCAGGGCTACACCGAGAAACAGTTTTAATAATCACAGGCAAGAAAAGTTTGCGTTAAGAACAGTTGGTTACGAGAACTGGAGAAACGGTTTAGTCGCTAAGCTGCTCTTCCAGAGGACCCTTTCCAGTGGCTCACAATCGTCTGTAACTCCAGTTCAGGGGATCCAACATCCTCTTTTGACTTCCCTGGACACTAGGCATGTCTGTGGTACACTGACACACATGCAGGCAAAATACCCAGACCCATAAAATTAAATTAAAAAAATAATAAAAAGAACAGTTGGTTTTGGGCTGAAAACATGTATTGATAGTTAAGAGCACTTGTTACTCTTCCAGAAGACCTAGTTTTAATTTCAGATACCCATATCTCAAAAAGCTCAAAAATGTCTGTACCTCCAGTCCTAGGGAATCCACTGTCCACTTCTGACCTCTGCAAGCACCAGGCATGCACATGGTGCATGCACATAGGAACACA